TGTTATAGTATCGATATAATTAATTGCTTATTACTTGGCTTTAGAAAGCTACATTAATTAAGATGGTCGATATTGGATTCACAAAACTTTTTTAATTTTCGGGAATGCAAGTAGTAAAATGTTTTCCCATTGGATTCCCTTTCAAAAGTTTTTGTTGTTTCAACACAGAGCGAGCAAATTATTCTCTTCGTACCAAAATATAAAGCATTAGTCACTAATTCACAATTTTAAAAAATGTTAGTTAAAACAAAAAAAATTATATTTTCAATTATACTCTCATTTAATATCTTATATAAGTGCCTTGAAAATGATAATTAAAATTTTAATGCATCATTTTTTTTTTCAAAAAGAGTAATAAATGTAGGGTTATAGTTGAAAAAACAATTATAAAAGTTACTCAATACTCCTTTCATCCTTATATATAAGGTGTTTTCTAGAAACTTATTTTGTCTCTAAATATAAGGGGTGGTAATGATATTTTTAAGTAATTAAATAATTTTACCCTTATCTTGAAAAATAAAATAGATCATTAATTGTATGTTTTCTTCACCATTATCATGATATTAATTATGATATCATTATGGATAAAACTAAAAAATTATTATATTTTTATGTGAATTCAACTAAATAATAAATTTTTATTGGTATGTGAAATTCAGTTAAAAACATCTTATATATATAGAAATGGAGAAAGTATTTAATATTTTGTCAAAATAGCACTTTTACAAAATGCTCTATATTATGATCAGAAGTAAGGAAGTGAGGAAAATGAGGGTCATGTAATCAACGACTGATGATTTAATAACTTGCATGTGGAATAACCATCACTTTCATGGCTGCAATTTTTCTTCATTTGATTGTTGATTTCCTAGTGAATAGCACATGAATATAATATTTGACAGCATAAAATAGAGGAAGCGGTAAAAATTCATTGTTTAATGTGTAATAATCTAACTCTGAGGGTGGAGGAACCAGGAGGGTACGTATGCAATTAATGCACAGAGGAAGGCAGTTAAAGATGGACACTTGAAAAGAGAAGCACAAATGTTAGGGAAAACCGTAAAAGTACATAGCATTATAGGATTCAATATACTCCTTCTATGATTTATAAGTCATTTTCATTATATTTTATTGTAATTAAAAAAATTTAAATTTTATTAACTTTATCTTAAAATTTAATAAGTTTTCATCTTTATCCCATCTCTATCTCTAATAAAGATAAAAAAAATTATTGTTAACATTTAATAAGTATAAAGGTAAAAATGAATATAAAAAACAGTGAAGTATTCTATATTAAAAATAATTTTTCTCTCTCTATCCTATGAATAGGATAAGAGAAATGAAAACTATTTGGAAAAGTTTCAGTAATTTGGTCAAGTTATTTAAATGGAGAATGATAAGATTAGGACCCCAGCCAAATTGGTATGCTATGGAGAAATTTTCTAAAATTGAATTGATCTCTCAGTGGTGATAGAGAGTTACGTGGGATAGAACCGAAACTAAAGAAACTCATTGACAGGGCTATTTGCAATGTGGATTTATGAACAGCAACAAGTGACGTCAAAAAGACATGTCTGAATCATGTATAGACATCGTCAGAGTGCCCCGTTCCTCCAGAGACAGAGGACAAACAATGGACACTTTCAATGGAGCGACTCTTCCAAACGTATGTTGCCCTGACAATTAAAGTAAAAGATATCGTTGAAATGGAACGACAAACAATCAGCTCTTTAAATATAATGGATTGAACACTTAATGGCGATAGTCACCAAGAACATCGTTCTATATATATATATATATATATATTGTTTCATCGATCACGTTCATCTGAAACTTGCAAACTTAAACAAGCCTTCTTCATTCAGTCTTTAAATCAGTCTCAGCAAACATGGCTGCCTCCTTTTTGAAGCTGTTTGTCGCCCTCTCCATTGCCCTCTTGGTTTTTTCTCCCAACGGTCAATCTACTCCCTTCACCATTTCCTCTTTTCATATTTTTTTGGGGACCGGTTTCTGTGCTCTCATCCTTCAGATGAGATCTGAACCATCCAGATTTTAATCTCGATGGTCCAGATTTAATGTATTATAATATATTATATTATTAAAATAAAATGTATAAAAATTATAAAGTAATTTTAATAAGTTTTTTATTTTTAGTCTGGTCTAGATTTAATCTAATGGGTCTAATTTAATATTAAAATTTTTATAATTAATGTATATTGATTATTTAGATGTACTTTACATGAACCTGAACTATGCAGAATAAATCTGAATAATTAATATACATCAATTATAAAATTTTAATATTAAATTAGACCCTTTAAATTAAATCTAGATCACATTAGAAATAAAAAAATTTATTAAAATTATTTTATAATTTTTATAAATTTTTATTTTAATAAATATAATATATAATAATGTAATAATACTTTAAATCTGGACCATCCAGTTTTGGATGGTCCAGATCTCATCCTAAGTATGAGCAGGGAAACTCAATCCTATTATTTTTTTTTTTTTTTGGGTACAATGCATGGCCTACTCTTTATATATACGTGTGTGTGGGTGCAGAGAATGTTGAGGCAGCACTTTGTGGAAGACTTAGCGAAACATTTCGTGGGATTTGTGTGGACAATGCTACCAGTGAATGTGACGCAGCATGCCTAAAAAAGGATGCTGTTCAGGGATCTTGTCATGTCTTCGGATTTGCATGCACTTGCTTATACAACTGTTCAAAGTGAGCCAGTCTGGGCTTTTAGCATAACCATTCGAGCAATCTACTAGAGGTTTACAGTTAGATCCTACCAGTATCTTCTCATATATGCTCATAATCAGTACTAGCCTTAGTCAGTCACCTAATTTCTGCAGAGGGGCTGCCTCGTCGACGAAAGCAATTGGTTATGCTATTTGTGTACATTCCATAAATCATATAAGGTATCCATATATTGGCTTCCAAAGATCTTTTGGCGCATTGGTCGATGGACATGGATCAGTAATTTGCTCTTCGAAGAAATTAATTTTTGTAACTCAACTTCACAGTATAGCATCCACCTCAGCTTGTCTTCAAGCCCACGTGCAGAAACTGGAATAGATGTATAAGCAATGGAGAGTAAAAAGTTTCTTCATTATGGGTTATTATGTATAGTTTTTGATCATGTAGTAATTTTTTTATTTTATTCATATAACTACTATTATTTATTGATTGTCTCTTTATCTAAAACTTACAAAAAATTGTAAAAATAATGTTTCTTGTAACGCATGGGTGATAAACTAGTTCATATTTATATCAATAGTACACGATTTTTACCCTGTAAACATCCCTTATTGAGAGAGAGAGAGAGAGAGAGAGAGGGAGAGAGAGATTAAAGAAAAGATTAGGAACAATTAAATTTATGTTGGAAAGTAAACCATTTAATAATTAAAGCCACATCTAACAAATTAATTGTAATTTGGGACAAATTTAACAAGTTAGACTGCCACCTTTAATAACTTTCTAAAATAATATAAAGTAGTTAAACTGTGACTTCTATTCAAAATTAGACCAGGTAATATCAATGGACACTTGTAAACATAGCAACAGAAAAGGATTCTTTCGTTCCATTTCGTAAGATATCTTTTTAGAAGGTTTTGCCAAAAATGATCTCTTTGCTCCACTTTCAAGCGTCCTCCTAAACGTACGGTACATTTCCACTCGGCATCATTCACCTGTTTACTCTTGACGAAGTCCTCGTGTGTGTAATCCAGCCGACGAGCAAGTGACTGTTATTGAGTCGTGAAAGGTATAATTCATAATAATTTTCTTGACATCAACTAATTAAATATGGATTAAGTTATAATTAAAAGATTAAAAATCATTTACAATGAATAATTTAGGTCGAGTCGTTACATATAATTCTTTCTTTTATTTTTAACCAAAAAATTAAAAAATTTAGGTTCTTATATTATATACAGTTTTAATTTCTAAAAAAAATGGATTTTTCAGTATGTAGGTTTTCTCTTTTCGTTCTTTTTACCTTTTTTTTTTCTTTAATAATGCGATTGGGTGTTTGACATACAATATTTTTTTGACCCCTTTATAGTGTAGAAGAGGACATACTCAGCGCCGCCGCCACCCCCCAAAAAAAAGAAAAGAAAAAAGCAGCATAGATGTGTGTGGATATATATAACGACAATTCATTTCTAGAATTATCCGTATGTTAGAAACAATTTTGGCACTTAGAATATTCAAAATAGATCGAGGCGTTTGACCTTTAATAAAAATAGAAAGCCCAATATGTGCTGGTAAAAAAATATAGCTAAACCATGCCATCGCAAGAGCTGAACTAAGAGAGGACAAAAATGCAAGCTAATACACACGGACAGGAAGATATGTATGCGTATATGCAAGATTGTTTTGAGTGTCATAAATATCAGAAAATTAGTATATCATGTAATTTTCAAACAAACAAACTCTGGATGAAACTTTCAAATGTAGTCTTATACACTGCTTAGTACGTAATTAACTCATTCGTCATGCACTTTTCCATGTACATGCTGTATACGGCACATGTCCTTTATATTTTATGCACATATATAATAAGATAGAGATCTATTCTCATGGTTTCCCTACATATAATGACACAATGCATTGTTGCATCTTGTATTGAGATATATACAACGAAGCATGCTCGTCATTCACGAGATCGTGTCTTCGATATTGTTGAAAGCCACAACCACGTCCATATGTGAACACTATATTTTGATTCCTTTTATACAGATACACACACACCACCATGAGCAACCTTGTGATTTTCTTCTTTGATATAGGATTAATCTTGGGGTTGTGGACCAATACTATGATCCATGCAAAAGCCCAAGTAAGCGATAGTTTGAATCCAGGTGATCAGCTGAACAGCACGTCCAAGTAATGTTCAGCAAACAAAAGGTTTTGCACGTTCACGACGATAGTGACAGACCACAGCCAATCGGTTTACTTCACAGTATATCGGAACTCAGAAGGCGCAGGTATGGCCGTATGGATCGCAAACCGAAACGATCCCATATTGGGCTATGATGGTGGCTATTTATCTCTGGACAATGCTGGTACTATGCAAATAATACGTCAAGGTGGTGAACCACTTATCCTGTACTCGCCGTCTGAAGATATAAACAAAACAAAGGCCATCTTGCTTGACACAGGCAACTTTGTTCTGCAAGAACTTGACCCAGATCGATCAGTGAAGAGTGTGTTGTGGCAAAGTTTTGATTATTCCACTGATCTTCTTCTCCCAGGGATGGAACTAGGCGTGGATCACAGAACTGGGGAAACAAGCTCACTGGTTTCTTATCTAACTAGTGACATTCCATCTTCTGGAGCATCCACACTTGAATGGGACCCCAAAAGAGGTGAACTGATAATCCAGAGAAGAGGACAGATTTATTGGGCAAGTGGGGTTTTAAGAAACCAAAGATTTGAATATATTCCAGAAGAAACTCAAGCCATGAATCGATATACCGTTGTTTCAAACGAAGACGAAGAGTACTTCAGTTACACAGTGACGAAGATTATGCGGAATGGATTCTGTATTATGATGGGCAGTTAGTGGATAGCAAAGGAAGCTATATTGCAAGGGCTGATATGTGTTATGGATACAATACTGATGGGGGGTGACAGTTATGGAGCCAACCAACTTATAGGCATGTGGGTGAAATATTTGAGAGCGAGACTGTTAACTTGAGAAATGTAGACGCGTCTAATTTCAGTTTTGTTGACGAGAATGTCACGACAAGTGATTGCAAGGCCATTTGCTGGGAGAATTGCAGCTGTGTTGGGTTCGCAAGTTTATCAGATGGTGGCACTGGATGTGTTTTTTATAATGTACCGTCATATGTCAAATTTCTTGACGCCAATAATAGTGGCGATAGCTTTTTCTTGCTTGAAACCTCTCGAGAACACCGTAGAAAGTCTATTCTAAACCGCGTCATGTTGGGTGTGAAGCATTTAATCAGAAGGTGAATTCTTAAAAGTATATCTTGGTTTTTTCCCCCTTATTACTCAACAATGTCTGATCAACCTCGATTTATTTCTTTTAAAGCATGAGAGTCATTTTACACCATCATAATTCTAATATTTATTTCATTCCTTTTTTATGTTGTATCTGGACGAACCGTTAAAAGTGTTTTTTTTTTTTTTTACGAGAGTCGAAAATATCATTGCCTTTCCTTCTGTTTCCTTCCATTTGTAGGGGTTCCCAAACATACCTTCAAGAAAAAAGAAAGATATATGACAGTAATTCCAATTGCTAATGAAATATTATGGCTATTAAAGCAAATATATATGTCCGTAGCCAAAAAGAAAAGGAAATACGCACACATGCCCGATAAGAAGAGTTTATTCAAAAATGAAGATGATTTGTCATTTTTAATAATCCATGATCTTATGCCTTAGGACAATCTATTCTACCAAAATAACTTAAATTATTTGATTAGACATGCTTTAAATTTTATATATTTTTAATCTATTTTCTAACTTTTAAATACCAGATTTTTCTTTATCTCCAATATATACATGAAAACCCTTCTAGCTTTACAGTTTGCAATTAATGCAGATACAAAAAAATGGATATGGATTATTGTTGTTGTGATCGGTACTGCTCTATTCATTTGTTGTGTTGGCATTCTGTGGTTAATACAAAGGAGAACAAAACCCAAAGGTAAAAAGATCTCTTGAAACATGATGGGATATATATATATATATATATATATTTATATGTAGCACATTATTTTGATTATTCTTTGTTATTCTCTATGAACCTAATCAGAGGCGATTCTAATTGTAAGTAGAGTAGAAGTTATTATCAATAGAGTGTAGAAAATAAAAAAAAATGGATAATGAAAATACTGACTTATAAATTCTAATGGATGTCCAGATATTAATTGTAATAACCTGAAAAAAATAATTAAAAAATAATAATAAATAAAATTACAGATAAGTATTTTGATTTGGTTTATTTTTAGCTTAGAGAAAGTATTAAAAAAAAAATTTATGATCCAGTAAAATGAGTGCTGTACATTAAATTGTCAGGGCGTAAGTTCGAAACTTCTGAAGGCTTAGAGATCAATTGTGTTTTGCTTCAGTTTTAGTAAATATGACCATACTGCCCCTCAGATTTTTTTTAAAAGAAACAAGAAACACGCGCACGCAGATCAGGTATCTTGTTCTCCCCTTCCCATATGTTTTCGGCGAATTCTCTAGAACTAAGCGTGAGGGAGAGGGTGAGCTTGGTCCTTCATTGTTCATTCTCCGCCCTCCCTTCTCCGCCTTCTTTCTCGTTCACTGCCGACGACTATGAGAGCACCAGAGCTGTCTTCTTCCATCTTTGTCCGAGTAGCTGAAGGAGGTGCGTCGATCTGCTCTGTTTCACTCTTCCCTGCTCTGCATATTCTCCTTCATTCTGGCTTCTTCCGTTTTCTCCTCCTGTCATCGGCGAGTGTGTGTGTGGAGGCGGAGAAGCCTAGCTTGTCGACGCTGCAGACTTCTAATTTTTCCCCCGTTTTGCAACGCTGCCCTGAGGGAATTAAGGCGAAAATGTTACAAAAGTGGCTAATTAGAAAAAAGTTATATTTAAAAATATCTCAGATAAGTGGATAGCGTCCCAACTGATTTTTTTTTCAATCAAAATTTCCTTTACTAAAATATTACGTTTTTCTGAAAATCATTTTAATAGCATTAATGCGATTATTGGATATTTGTTGATTAACATTTCTTTATTTTGAGAAATTAGCTTTACCAAATTTGAAATGTTATTTGATCAATTAAGTCAAGTTTGAACTTTGATTATGAGATTTTTATTTTATCAAATACTGGATTGATATAGAGAATGATTCATGCGAGTTTGACGTTGAAATTTTTTTTATTAAATAAATGCAAGCATGAGCATCAGATATGAAATTTGATTCTGGCAAGTTTTAATGCTTAAAAGTATTCATGCGAGTTTGATTTTGAGAATGAGAACTGTATCTTGAAAGTGATAATTTTCTCGCATGTTTGAAAATGATTTTAAAAAAAGGACTTTATATAGAACACTGGTTGCTAACGGCAGTTCCGTTAGCCCTTGGCGCGCCATGGTACACCTAGCTAGCAGGGTGTGTATAGGAGGTGCTAGCCCCGTGCGATGGCCAACGCACGTGGAATGGAGGGATGATTATTCGTGAGCATCGTACTCACATTTGTTTCGTGGCTTCAAGCCGCGTTTGGTTAGCATTACCTTCGTGGACTGTGTGTTCACATTTGTTTCGTGGCTTCGGCTGCGTTTAGTTATTTATCCTCGTGGATTGTGTGTCCACGTTTGTCTTCGTGGCAAGAGCCGCGTTTGATTATTTACCCTCGTGAACTTTGTGTCCACATTTGTTAATTGTTCTGATAAGTCCCTGTAATTATAATATGATTATTTAATGATTTTGTATTCCATTGGTTCTTACTTAGTAACTTATTTATAATTATTTCTTTCATTTATATGCTTTCTTAAAATTAAGTAATAACATTTGCTACGATATCTCAATGGTTTAAGATTTCATTTAAAATTTTATAGAACTAATTTATTTCAAAGTTTATTAAATTTTTATGGAAATTATTATTTCTTTGACTTACATAATTATTTCAAATTTCCTTTTGATTTACGTTCAATTATTTATTGTTGGGACATTATTCACTAGAAAATTATTTTTGGCCTCAGATACTTTAACTGATGCTGATCCTTTTGTTGACCCTTGAGGACATCTAGATGTGGCAGGTGAAAAAAAATTTATTGAGATCCCTCCTTTTGATGTAAATACAACCACTTATATATTTTATTTTGAAAAGTATGATTAGATGCTCCACGTAGTTTATAGTTAGATTTCTATGTTAATATATGTTGTCTATTGGCTGGAAGGAGTTGAACTCCTGATGGACATCATATTTTGTGTGAAATATCGTGTTATAGAATTTTCGAGAGATTCTATTTACAAGAGAGGTTCAGTCGAGATTTCTAAAATATATATATATATATATATATTGAAACCAATGATTTTAAAGCCGGACCGGACCGGACGGTCGGACCGGTCCGACCGTCGGCCGGTCCACATTCCGGCTCGGCCAGAAGGGAAAAACCGTGTGATAGGTTGAGCCGGGTTGAGCCGGCCAAAACCGTCAGTTGGGCCGCGAACCGGAGTTGGGCCGCGAACCGGGTCCGGTTTTTAAAAGCCAGACGGTTCTATTTTTTTTGCCCCATATATTTTAGAAAGAATGCAGAACAAACCAGAGTCGCAGACAGAGGGATACCGGCACCGCACGCACGCTCAGCTCTTAGATTGCAGCTCGCAAGTTTGTCACGGTTTCAGATCTCTCGTCTCTTTGAGCTACAAAGTCACCGTTCGGTACCGATTTTCAGATCGCCGCATCTGGTTTGGCTTCTTGTTTCTATTCTCGGTTTCACGGTTTCAATTCAGAGCTGCGAACTGCGAAGTCACGGACTCACGGTTGGCGCATCTGGTAAATTTCTGATTTGGGATTTGATTAAGGTTTCTGTGCTGACTGCTGAGTACTTTTCTTTAATTTTTATCTGTTTATTTTGCTTCTCCATTTTTGATTATTTGCGGTTTTGTGAGTGTGTCTGTGTGTGCATTGACTTCTTAAGGATTGAAAGAGATTTAACAGGAATTTCCAGTATTATGGAAGCTGAAGAGATTGAAAGAGTTGGAAGATTTCGTTTTGTATCGAAATTGATTTTATCCGCTATTTTTTGGGCTCTCACGGGATGTTTTGCCATGGGTAATGAAAGCTGTTTTCTTCTTCAACTTCGATTTACATGTGGTCTAAGTGAATTGAATTATCCTTCGCTTATAATCTTTCTCTTGGTTACTTCGGCTTCTTAAAAAAAATTAAAGACCCCCCATTTCATTTTCTCTTGGTTTCTATATAATTCTTGACCCTTGCTGTTATCAATTGGAAAACCGGGAGTAACTTGGATTGAAACTGGATTGAGTTATGTTGTTGTTTGCTTCTTACTTCTCCAATTGATTATGGTGAAATTTCATTGTTATTTAAATAGCATCTCTTGTTGCTAATTTGTTAAAACAGCATGTTTTATTAAGCTAACATCTGTCCGCATGCAATTCCCTAATGCAGCGGGAATATACTCAGCAGTCAGCACAGAGCCACAGACACATTTTCTTTGAGCTTCGATTTCAAGCTTCCCACTGTGACTTCACTGAATTTTTATTTTTTCCAGAGCTGTGACTTTACTGAATTGATTAGGTCTTTTAATGACAAATCTAAATTTTGCCTTGTAGAAAATGACATCTGAAAATGCTTCAACTACTGCATCAACACAATCTGTTAGATCAAAGACAGATCCTACATGGGAGCATTGTGCTGAGGTCAAGCTCCCAGATGGCAAAATTCGCCTAAAATGTTTGTACTGTGCAAAAGAATTTGCTGGTGGAGGGATTCATAGAATGAAACAACATCTTGCTGGAAAGAAAGGGGATGCAATAAGTTGCAAAAAGGTGCCTGCTGATGTTCGCTACCGACTTGAAGAAAATTTAAAGGAGATTAGGGAGAATAAAGGCAAAAGGCAAGATAGTTATGAAGAGGACAATCCATATGGCCCTAATGTCACACCATTAGAAAGTCATGATGGAAATTTAGAAGAAATTTCTACTCCTCAATCTCAAACCCTCAAGGAAATTCAATCACAAAGTCAAACGCAACTTGGAAAAAGAAAGGCTCCTATTGACAAATATTTTGCACCAAGAACAACCCCAGGAGCACAGCCAGGGATACGAAGTGCGCTTGCAGGTAAAGAACCTATACGTAGGGCAGACATGGCTTTTGCTAAGTGGATGTATGATTGTTGTATCCCATTGAATGTTGTCAATTCAGCATTCTTTCAACCTATGATTGATGCGTTTACAGCTATTGGCCCTGGTTATAAAGGGCCAAGTTATCATGCCATGAGAACTAAATTACTGCTTGATACTAAAAAGGAAGTTCAATTAATGGTTGATAGTTTTAGAAACTTTTGGGATGATACTGGTTGTACAATCATGGCCGATGGTTGGCAAGATCAAGCAAATAGGCAATTGATTAACTTTCTTGTCTATTCTCCTAGGGGAATTGTTTTTATTAAATCTGTTGATGCATCAGACATAGTCAAGGATGCCCAAAATTTGTGCAACTTATTCACTGAAATGGTTGACTTTGTTGGAGTTACAAATGTTGTGCACTTGGTAACTGATAATGCAGCTAATTATAAAGCTGCTGGGCGGTTATTATGTGATAAATTTCCTTCTATTTTTTGGTCTCCTTGTGCTGCACATTGTTTGAACTTGATTTTAGGAGATATCGGTAAAATGGATATTGTGATTGGCTTGGCAACACGTGCATCTATGGTGACAAAGTTTGTTTATAATCATGCCTTTTTGCTTGCTTGGCTGAGAAAAAGAGAAGGTTGGACTGAAATTATTCGCCCTGGGGTGACACGATTTGCTACCACTTTTATTGCATTGAAAAGTATTCATGAGCATAAACATGATTTGCAAGCCTTGGTAACTAGCAAAGTATTTTTAGATTCTAGATACTCAAAAGGAGAAAAGGCAAAGGATGCGACTTTAATAGTGCTAGACAATCAATTTTGGAATGATTGTAAAATTGTAGTCCAAATTGTTTCACCACTTATTCGATTGTTGAGGATTGTTGATGCTGATGAGAGGCCTTCACTTGGGTATGTATATGATGGCATGTACAGGGCAAGAAAAACTATCAAGAATATATTAATGAATAAAAAGCCCTTGTATAAGCCTTACACAAGGATTATCAAGAAAAGGTGGGATTCTCAACTTCGTCAGAAGCTTCATGCAGCAGCTTATTTCCTAAATCCTGTGTTCTTTTATGATAAGCAGAGCTTTTCTAAAAAGCCAGAGGTTATGGCTGGATTTCTTGATGTTTTGGATAAGACAATCACTTCTAACAAAACCAAGTTTGTACAAGAAAGTTTGTTGTATCAAGATAGAGTTGATAGCTTCGGTCGTTCCTTGGCCATTTCATCTATAAACTCATTGCGGCCAAGTAAATTTTAATGCTTTTTTCATTTAACTTTAATAGTTTTTAGTTTTTATAGTTCTTACTTGTGTTTATTTTTGATGCTAAATTTTGCAGATGAATGGTGGAAAATGTTTGGTGATAGTGCACCAAATGTTAAAAAATTGGCAATGAGACTCTTAAGCCAAACTTCATCTTCATCTGGTTGTGAAAGAAATTGGAGTGTTTTTGAAAGAATACACTCTAAAAAAAGGAATAGGTTGGAGCATAAAAGGTTAAATGATCTTGTGTTTATTCATTACAACCTTCGTTTGAGAAATAGGTATATCATTTAATTATAGCTAAACTTTGTTTAACATGAGTTTAATTGTAAGTTAACTTCTAAAATTTTAATACTTTGGTTATGTGTTTTAGAGTTTATAACAAGAAAAGATCTTTTGATCCTATTGATTATGAAAGTATTGGTGACATTGAGTATTGGATCATGGAAGATGAAGATTCTCCCACCCTTAATTATGATGAGATAGAAGAAGCTATGCTTTATGATGATACAATAATTCCACAAGTTTCTATCAATCAAGATGAAGGTTTGATCTTTGAAATTTTTTAGTATTTAGTCATGTTATTTTTTTCTTATAATATGTGTTACTTATTAATTTTAATATTTGATTTGTTACATTATTCAATAAAGGTAATAATGAAGGAGGAGGCAATGAGGTTCCGTCTGGGGGTGGATGTTCAATCATAGAAGGACTTGATTTGAGATCTTTTGCCCAAGAAGATGTTGAAACTTATAGTTATGATGATTTACGGGAAACTCATGCTTGGCTTAATCAGGATCCACCAATCTTTGATAAGTCATGAATAGATAAATATGATGTTATGCTTGTTTAAATTGTTGGTGTGTTGTGTTGTATTGCCTTGTTAGTTGTTATTTTGTCATATGTTGAAGTTGAAGTTGACTATTTATCTTGATATTTTAATTATTTGATATTTTGTTTATATTATTTTATAGATATATAATTTTTAAATTTAATTATGACGTTACCGGTTCGACCATTGGTCCAACCCGGTTGGACCATACGAACCACGGACCGCTGTCCTCTCCGGTTCAATATCCGGTCCGGTTTTAAAAACATTGATTGAAACTTTTATTATAATGATTTTTATTAGGTATGTCATAATTTTTAATACAAATTTAACTATATTTTAAAATAAAAAGATTTTTTTATTTAGGGCTTAAGGGATGTGTGATATGGTTTACATCCCGTGCCGGTCACCCTCTATTTTTAGAGTGTGACATTAATGAACTTGAAAATAATCAACCGAGAGAACATGGTTTGAGAGTATTCAGCTATGCCTCTGTCATGGGTGTGACAACCATAAAATTTTAAGTTAAAATAATAATAAATGAGTAAATGAAATAATAATGATAAATTATATATATAGTAATTGTTTTGAGTGTATTTTATTTATGTTTGGAATAACTGCAATAAGGAGGAGTGTTAGTGTGGTGAAAGTAGACAAATAATATAATAATTAAAGAGTTTAAATTAAGATTAAAATTTATGATTAAATACTTGATTATATTTTAATAATTCTTGAAACAACAATATGAAGAGGAATGTTGATCTTGTGAAAATTGTGATAAAAAATAAAAAAATAAAAAAAAAATAAAAATGATTCATTAGCTCTTTGATTTTTTTTATAAAAATGTATAAACATGAGAAGAGTTTTGTCTTGCATTAGTTTTAGGAAATTGTCATTTTTGCAAAAAAAAAATTAAAATTAAAATTAAAACAAGTTATATATATATATATATGAACATACACGTGGAGAGGGGAGATCAGAATTTTCTTTCCTTCCTTTATGAACATACACGTGGAGAGGAGAGATCGTATTTTTCTTTCCTTCCTCTTCTCACACTGAGACACGGGAGATTCGAGAGAGCTCATCCACCGCCTTTCTTCTTCCTCATTTCTGCTCACCTGTCATCGGCCACCGTGAGAGTCACCGTCCGTTCACTGTTTTAGCTGTTCAGGGAGCTTGCGATCTCCCTTCTTCATTTTCATGGCCGTTGACTCCCTCCCCTGTGCAGCTCGTCCAATAACTACTATTTCTTCCATTCGGCGTTGGCGTCTGTAGGTGTGTGCTGGAGGCTTCATCTTCCTTCTCCATTCAAGCAGCTGCGAGTGTGAGCTGTGGTATCTTTCCCCTGCGTTGTGTTGCTGTGATTCACTGCTGTAGGAGCTTCGCCGGACACCAGCTCCTTCCTCCCCTGTTCACGCATCGATTTCTCATTTCTCTGCGTCTCTCGCCTCTTTTTTTTCTCAGTGTTCGCTATCACCTCTGTCACTCATCTAATCGCCGGTCACCATGGAGTGTTCGTTGTAGAGGCATGCGTGTCGTCTCTTTGTTCGCTGTTCTATCTTCTCTGTTCGCTGAACCATTTTTTCTTCGACCTTGTCTGTGCTGATGGTGGCTGCGGGAAGCTACGCTGCTGGGGAGGTAGAGCATGAAGGAGTTTTGAGTTGCTGCTGTTGGAGGTTTTTATCAGCCTTTTCTCTTTCTTTCTTCATTGCAGCAATAACCAGAATTCTTCCCTCCTCTGTTGAGCGTAAGTTTGGATTCTCCTTCCTTTTTCTGTCTTTAGTTGGCATTATGAGGTATAGAAGCTTCAAATCATTTTTTTTTCTTCTTGTTCCGTGTATGTGTGTGCATGTGTTATGATTGAGATGGTGATTCTTATTCTTGTCTGCTGCTGTAAATGTGGAGTACGGGTGATAATTTAAGTTGAAATTCTTAGTGTTAAGGAGATGATAATAATTGATAGGTATGAGTTTATGGGAGAAGATTTGTTGAGGATTTGAATATAATGAAGGTGGTTTGGCTTGAGTTTTCCTCCCTTGAAATTAAGTTGATTCTTATAGTGGAATTTGATTGACAAAATAAGTTAATTATTTTTATAAAACTTGGGAAAAACAAGAAGTTGGTTTAATAGTGTATAGGTTAGAATTTGAACATGTTAGGTAAAATTTTGAAATTTTGAAATTAGTTTGGTCTTGAGATACAAGGGAACCTGGAAAAAACTTTGTTATACTTGATGATATTTATGATATTGAATTAAAGGGGCCATAAGATTAGTTGTGGTTGTGATTGTGTAAGGTAAGAAATTGTATTCATTTGACTAAAGCGTATTTTGTGAAGAGTTATTAAAAAGCCTTAAGGATAAATCATTTATTAGTTATTAAGGGAAGGAGGCATGGTAAAGATAAATATATTAATATAGGTGAGAGAAATGAACAAAAAGAATATAAATTTTAAATACAGAAGGTAGGTTAAAGACAAATAAGGATTGAGAACTTTAAAAATGTTCTAGATTACATATTGGGTTCACGAATGTCTGTTAGAAATATATGAATTGAATTTATATTAAAGAAAGATGGTTATTCTTTTGGTCTAGGTGATAGCATAGTTAAAGGGAAATGGAGAGGTATTAAAAAAGCACATATTATTAATTTGAGAGTTATCAGGTAAGTGGATATCGTCCCAACTGATTTTTTTAATTAAAATTTCATTTACTAAAATATTATATTTTTCTGAAAATCATTTTATAGCATTAATGCGATTATTGAATATTTGTTGATTAACATTATTTTATTTTGAGAAATTAGCTTTACCAAATTTGAAATGTTATTTGATCAATTAAATCAAGTTTGAACTTTGATTGTGAGATTTTTATTCTATCAAATATTGGATAGATACAGAGAATGATTCATGCGAATTTGAAGTTGAATTTTTTTTATTCAATAAATGCAAGCATGAACATTGGATATGAAATTTGATTCTAGCAAGTTTTAAAACTTAAAAAGTATTCATGCGAGTTTGATTTTGAGAATGAGAACTGTATTTTGAAAGTGATGATTTTCTCGTATGTCTGAAAATAGTTTTAAAAAGGGACTTTATATAGAACATTAGTTGCTAACGGCAGTTCCGTTAGCCTTTGGCGCGCCATGGTACACCTAGCTAGCAGGGTGTTTGTAGGAGGTGCTAGCCCCGTGCGATGGCCAATGCACGTGGAACGGAGGGATGGTTATTCGTGAGCATCGTACTCACGTTTGTTTCGTGGGCTTTGTGCCGCGTTTGATTCTGTGGCCTGAGCCATGTTTGGTTAGTATTACTCTCGTGGATTGTGTGTCCACGTTTGTTTCGTGGCTTCGGCTGCGTTTGGTTACTTACCCTTATGGATTGTGTGCCACGTTTGTCTTCGTGGCAAGAGCCGCGTTTGGTTATTTACCTTCGTGTACTTTGTGTCCACGTTTATTAATTGTTCTGATAAGTCCCTGTAATATGAATTTGATTATTTGATGATTTTACATTCCTTTGATTTTTAATTAATGAATTATTCATAATTATTCATTTTATTTATTTACTTTTTTTGCAATCAAGTGATAATAATACTTGATATGGTATTTTAATAATTTAAGATTTTATTTAAACTTCATAAAATTCTTTTATTTTCAAAGTCTATTAAATTTTTATGAGAATCGTTGCCTCTTAGAATTGCATAATTATTTCAAGCTTTTCTTTTATTCATGTTCAATTATTTATTGTTGGGACGTTATTTACTGAAAAAGATATTTTGGTCTCAAATGGTATAGTTGAACTTGTGACTCGAGATATTTACTGAAGAGTTTTGTTGCTGAAATTGAAGCAGAAGAATTATTTTAGTCAAATTCTAATTTGATGAAAAATTTGAATTTTATACCTACATTGGCGTCTGGCCTTAGGTGCTCCACATAGACTATAGGTAGGATTCTTACATTTCTTTTAAATTTGATTATCTAATTTAATATTGTAATAATTTTTAATTACTTTATTAGTATGTTTAATATGTTAATTTCAGAGTTTCTTCGATCACGGCTTAAGGAATATAAGTTTTGTGCCCATATCCCATGCTGGTCACACCTAATTTTTAGGGTGTGACAATGGGTGCCACAAATGGCTTCTCGGCAGAAATTAAGTTGGGAGAAGGAGGCTCTGGGCTTGTTTATGAGGTATTCTTTTTATTCTGTTTCCAACATTCTACGATAGATGACTATAATGTGCGCCTTTGATACAAATAATGTTTTTGTGATCATCAATTCAGGGAATGTTAAGAAGGGGAAGAGAAATAGCAGTAAAGAGATTGTCAGGAACTTCCCATCAAGGAGTAAATGAATTTAAAAATGAGCTAAAACTCATATCTGATCTCCAACACATGAATCTTGTTCAGTTATTTGGCTGTTGCATTGATGGAGATGACAGAATTTTAATTTATGAATATATGCCCAACAAAAGCTTGGATTTCTTCTTATTTGGTAAAATAGAATATCTTTTTCCATTAAGATTATCCATATATATATATATATATATATAACATGCTTATTAGCTACAAAAAATTTAGGTTGTGATTAGAGTGATAGATTTAAATTTGAATGTTAGATTTTAAATCTTGCATTTTAAATCTCATATTTATAATCCATGCATTTAAATATTTTGTTTGATAGTTTAAAAAATTTCAAATGAAAAAGATAGATGAGTTGAGATTAAAAATAATGAGTTTATCTTGATTTTTTTAATCGATGAGAGATAATAAAAGATATAGAATTCATAAAGGTATCAATAATAAAAAATAAAAAACGAACAAAGATTGAAATTTTAAATGATTAGAGTGTAAAAGGAATTTAAAATTACGAAAAAATTATAAAAAGAAATAAATTTAAATTGGAATCGAATTCAAATTCATAAATTTTTGTATATTGAAAACAAATCCAAATCTAAATCTGAATTAAATTCAAATTCCTATTAATCTAAGCACATCATTAAATTGT